GGTGAATAGGCAGCGATAACGGATAGACACCTGTTAGTCACACGCGACTTCAAAGCTTTGAACGAGCCAGCCACTCGGGCCGCACACATCCCGATATTGATTGCGATCAAATCAACCCGAATGGCTTCAACCCAGAGGCTCAGGGCAATGCCAACACCGGCTTGGCCGGTGCTCGAAGCTGCATCGTCACCGGGTAGGCGCGATGAGGTGTTGCTAGTGTCCCCTGAAGTGGAGCGCAGTGAGCACAGAGCTCGAGTCTTGCATGCAGGCCTCCGATAAGCAGCAGATATCGATGGAGCAGTTCGCTAATGTTTGGACAAGTGCTGCCTGTTGACCGATCAGTAGCAAGGGGCGTGCATTGAGGCATGCCAATCCGAAGGATGATGGAGTGCTCCAAATAGAAGCCGATGAACTGGGCTTGACCGTTTGCTTGGATATGGGCCAGTTGACAGGGCAGAACTGACGCTCCGCGTTCATATATCAGTTGAAACTAAAGACAGGCGACTATTAAAGCAAGGTGGGGGAGGGCCAAGAATTGGGGGGTTGAAAACTGGGGGGATACATTGAAGCTGGAACGGGACGATAAGGGTGAGAAACTACAAAAGGTGGGACAAGAAGACGGGCAGACTTGAGCAGTAGTATACGAACCCCTATCCACCCTGCTCGATGCAGAAGATAGGGCACCGCGGTCAGATCATCAGGAACTTATTTGAGAAAAGATGCATAGTATTGCGTGGGCGGGATACTGTCAGGTTTCCAAGGCGTAGACAAAAAGAAGATTAGCGTACTCAACCAAAGCCTATGGTTCAAAAACCTGACGGCAAGGCAGCGGGTTTAGTGTTGGGCTACAAAGAGTTCCTTATAAGGAATAAAGACCCACCCACATTCCAACCCCTCACCTGGAGGACCATGAAGCTGAGATTTTCTGGCTTCTAACTATTGATCAATTTGGTATAAGTGGCTCTGAAGGTGCAAAACAGCACCACACAGTATAGCTCAATGGATCACTGAGGCATACAAACCATTGCACAACGGTGAGGTCCAGCATCACTGCGATGGATGATTTAACAACTGCACAAAATGGAAATGAAACAACTGGGTAATCTTTAAGTATCGTGAGTTAATTAGAAACAAAAATGCCAGAAAGAACTTGACTCAATTAACAGGAAAGCAAAATACTAAAAGCAAATACATCCTCCTCTACCGAGTCGTTATTATTCCTAATGTGAAAGGTCTAGTTGAAAGTGATGCTTCATTCCTACAGTGCTTCGTTGGAAGCTAGTTTTCAGTCTGCCGGCGTGCCCACCCTAACTGTGCTTGAACATTACCTTTGATACAACTTCGAGCACATCGAAAACTTATTACTCACGCGCACGTCTGTCTGTCTACTTTAATGGGAACATAGCTTCGATGAAATAACAGCAGTTGTGCACCACTTGTAATTTCGTCCGCCAACGAGATGTTCAATTTTTGTACCACAGTAGACCCTGTACGTAACGGTAAGTTCAGTGCTACGGCTAAACATGGGTCAGTGCAGAGCCCGCAGGCATCTGATTTTTCGCGAAACCTTCTGTCTTCAAACATTGACCAGTATGTATCGATCGATCAAGTATCCCTAGTCCGCGCCTCATCTTGTGAAGCGCTGTGCTAGTTGCGCATGCAGACGCCACGCTTGTGTGTGTGGTGCATCGTGTGGGATCCGATTGGATCTCCGGACCGCCGTTAGAAATTCTCGGGGTTTGTCATGGCGCGCAATGTGCAGCACTTTACGGTGCGTCCATGAAAATCGGTAGATACATCCAGGTCGCACGACAGACTGCAGTTTTATATGAATATTTCACCTTCATCGGACCCTTCAGGAACCTGGTGTGACAAATTTTATTAAATACAAAGTCAATCCAATCATAACCTATGACTTATTAAGAACTACACAAAAGGATATTTGTAAAACTTGACCTAGAGTTTGCCCTTATGCACAGCAACTTTATTGTGAGTTGCATCACGTTCTATCTACCTTTGTTTAGTTTAGTGCTTCAGGTACTTGTTCAGTTATAGGATTATTGAAGGGGCAAATTAAATATGCATTTGTAAACAATACTTAATTAACCATGCCTGATTTAAAATATCAAGATACAATTTGTGTGGATTATCCTTTGGTGGTGTCGGACTCGTGCGCCAGAATTTAAGGAGTAAGCTCAGCTTAGAACCTGTTTGAAATATTAGCGTTTATCAACTATTCATGCCACGTGTCATGTTGACACCGTACCCTCCTGATCTGCCATATCTGTGGAAATTTACCGCCCAGCCAACATGAGCCCTTACGTAGTAGTTGGGCATTTGAAGCTGCTCTGGTAGACTGGATCTAAGTCAGTAATAGCAAATATGCACGTATGCACATATATTGGACTGGGTACGATAAACCCTTCTGTTGTGTCTATTGAACACTTCCACTTAGAAGTGGGCGTTGGCCGTGATACATCGTAGTACAAACCGATGGTGGACAAGCCCTCCTGAAGTCAAGAAACATAATCAACATGGTATCGATTTTCGACTTGCTCAATCTGGCCTTGGTGGGGCAAGGGAGCGCTGAGATGTGCCACTCGACACTTTGGACTTTTGTTTTGGGGTCATACTCAAAGCCCCAAAACTCATCAGTTGTGATGACACGGTCTAATATGTGGAAGTCACCTTCACAAAAGTTACAAATTTTCTAACATGTTTGAACTCAGCACAACTCTGGTCGTTCGTTAACAGTTTGAACACCAGATTCGCGCACACTTCACATCTACTGACCGTTTGTCACAATGTTGTAAACAGCACATTTTGGAATGTTTAATGAATGTACCATTAAGCGAACACTCAAGCGATGGTCTGAGTATAACATATCAGTCCCACGAGTATCTATTTCCTCGGTGGTTGTCGTTGATAACTTTGCAGAGCGAGCTTCATCGCTGATCACATCACAGCCTTCCAAAAAGACTTTTGTCACCGGTAGACTAGATGTTTCAAGGCACAATCGTCTCCAAAAGCCCTCTATATAATGGGAAAAGCTTCCACTTCAGAATCCGAGTTTCCTACAAAACTTGTTGGCAATCCTTTGCTCCATCGAGCGCTGCATGGAGGTTTTCACGGGAGGCGAAAACGAATTTCAAGAAAATGTCCGTCTTTACTCTGCGCATGGTCGTAGACATATGGGCGATTGCACGTGCGTAAACGAACTCCATCCTCCACCGATCCAAACCAACCCAAGCGCGTTGTGACTGGTAATCCCCTCACAATGAATCTACAGACACAACTTTTCGGATAGATCCTGTAGGCTATATCTTCCTTGATCTATCAAACTTATCTTAATGTAACACCTATGCATCGGGCGATCAGTCGCACACGTTGGCGTGGATAAAGCGGCACCTTCCGGTGACACTGAACGGTATCCACAGAATAACTAGTCTCAGGGATATCAGGGATATCAGATACGTCGGTAAAGCGGAATTAGAGAAACTACACAGTCGGGGTGCAGGATCCATCACTTTCATAAGTACCATTAAAATTGATTTGAAATATAAATATTTTTGCAAAATACTTAGTTGGTTACCATTGTGTTAAATATTTGTACATTCCTCCAACATGTCGCCAGAGATATTTTTCATATACCGGTCCTTACTTTGAATATAACCAAAAGGTGTACCAGCATTCTGAGAACTCTGAGTCTGTCAACAATTCAGCCTCCCTCTACCCAATTGACTCAAAATCACGTCGTGCGATCCCGATGTTATGAACGTGGTGTTGTCTGCCACCGAGTCGACAACTTAGACAAGACCTGGGAAGTCTGTAATACTAATGGACAATTTTTTAACCCTGCGAGTAATAAGTACTTTTCCTACTGATTGTGGTTGTGACGTTACATTTGATCCGTTTCAAATCCCTCCACTTCCTTAAACCACCTATACTAATCGATTGCAGGAATTTTGTCGAGTAGGCTGCTTCGAGTTAGTTATGTCTGCATTCCGAAGACTTATCGAACAAGCCTCCGAGGTCAATGCGCTCTCTTGAATTTGCTAGCCATTAAATGCAGTCTAAGTGCACGACACTTAGTCTCCCAGTTAGCGTTTGGTAGCGGTTACATTTCTTGTAACTTCTGCATTCGTTCTCGAATTCCAAAGCTATTGGGAAGGGGAATAACCTGGTTTTAAGTAATATTCCCATGCCTCTCGCGCAGGGCCTTCTCAGATATGAGACCTACCAAACATTCATATAAAGTATGCCGTCCATCTGGGCTTACTGTTTCGGCTAGTACAATGACGTACAAGTTTCACCCTCATCACCATTTTGCACGTTATCAAAGTCATTCCACTGAACACCTGTTAAAATGTTTTCTTCGTATTTGAACTTAAACAAACGGAAATTCTCCGTATCTTGATATAAGTTTGGAACTGCTCGGGAAACTGTCGTTTCAAAAAGTTTTGTGGACTATCTGTTAACAAGTTTACTATGCGAGCTTTCGCTTATGACACAAAGATTCATTTAAACCGAGTGAACTAGCATAAAATGCTTTGAAATTTAGAGCAAACTATTGTCAGCCAGAGGACTAGTACACTTATGTTTTGGGCTATCCTAAGCGGTCCCTAGTGAGTAAATTCATCAGGTAACGGACAGAAAATTGCGTGCTGACCCAAGGTCTTGGTGGTGGGGGAGGTGTTGGTAGTTCAGTTCAAGTTCGGCTCTATTCGCTAACACTGATCAAACTGATCGAAGCAAGACTGGACGCGGTGTACTCGACAGCTCTAGTCCATCCATTCCGTTCATGCACAGGTTGGGTTTGGAGATTTCCGCAGCCTCGATATTTTGGCTTTTTTGGAGTTGATCACAACCCTGTTCCGGTCATCTCGAAAACTTGTCGATTTCATTACAAATGTTACATTTGTGCGCTGATGGGTGATATTGTATTTGTGTTCCCTTTACTGCAAATAGCTTCGCATGCTCTTTACTGCCGTCCTCTACAGGTACACGAGAAAATTGACCACCGAAGTTTTTGAATGGAAACAAGAGTATGTAAAATTGTTGGAGTGCTGCTTGGGGGCGTTTCACTTGGATGCGACGCACGGTCTCATGTTCAGTGATTACGGAAAGAAAAGGGTGAGTCGGTCTCGCAGAGAATTAGCTTCTAACTCACAACATCCTTAACTTGCAAAGAATTCAGCCGTTAGAATGATTTTGGTAACAGAAAGAACTATATCTTCAAAAAGACGAAAACCTAGTCAGTAAAACATGATGACCTGTGCTCCTTTGATGATACAGTTTGTTACCTGGTTTGTACGAAACAACGTTTTTTATTAGGGGAGCATGATGCGGTTTTTCGCTAACATTGGTGATTATTTGAACCGTAACACTGATGTTGGGCGTTCTAGTGTTCCGTTTGTATTAAGCTAAAATATCTGTCTTGCCATGGACTGCGAGATCAGTACAATGCGCTACCCATTACAAAATCACCCGGATAAGTTGTGACAAAATGGTACTTTACCAGTGTAATGATTTCTCTTTATACAGGTGGCTTAATGTGATTCCACTGATACTGGAAACTGTTTTGCCCAAGCACGAACAAGTGCTCAGCTCACATGCAATCTTCTCCACTTTTCGAATCCGTATTGCTGTGCAGGATAGGCGAGCTCCTAGGCAGATTTCATTCCTTAAGACCTTATTTACCAATGCACGCATCATTATGTCCCACTGAAATTGAGTGACCCATGCATAATCGGAACTTAGAAGTCAAGTTTCTGTATCAGTCCACCAAATGTAGTACCCGAACACTGGAGTAAGTGCAGGTACCGTGAAATTTAACCGGGGCAAAATATTGCAATGTCGCAACCCTAGGCATCTCAAATAGTATAAAAAAGTCGTTAGTTTGTTTAGGGAAAATATTTTACTACCGCACTGTGTCGCGCTTGGACTTAGTTCTCGAATGAGCATACAAGCACCTATCAACGTCGTAGAAAGGACTCACTCGTGGTCCAGCGTCAACCTTTTACAGACATTTTTATCAGTAAAATGCTCTGGCCTGTCATAGTAAAAGAAAACTGTTCAAACATTGCCTCCTCCTGGAATCGCGCGAAGTGCTCATGCCTACAGGTTTGCCTTTAGCGCCTTGAAAAAATTTCCGACTGCGATAAAACCATCCCTTTTTTCGCAGTTCCTCAGGAGCCTCCAAGTAACTGAAGAAAAAATTAGCTGGTTTATTTTTGGTACCAAAAACATACCAGTGAGGATGGTTAACCTCCAGGTAATAGTATTTGAAGGAATCGGCTAACTTCACATGAAATGCGTTGCTCATGTAAGCGGACGCGGCGTAACTCTAACCGCCGTAGTCTGCACAGGGTCCTCTTCACACTCATGGGTGTTACGTAGTCCCTTGGTCTATTAAGGGAGGTTATAAAACACCGATTATTTGGGACAATTCATGTTACCTCTAATCCACCTGACTAACATCCGGTGATTCAGAACGTTGTAGAATATGTGTATATCCGTGGTAGACGGTTTTCACGAGACAGTGGAGCAATGTTGAGGCAAGATCCAGGAGGCAATAACAAATATAGTATAGTGTAGTTGATCAAGAGTGAAGAACTTCCAGTTAACTTTTACCTGCGGTGACTATGTTTAAGCGAGTCGTACCACAGTGTCTTGCTGCTCGGTGTTTCATCTATAAATGAAAATGTGGCTGCTGCTCTCCAAGATGATCATTTTAATTGGCTTCCTTCCAGTATGGTGCTACGTAGCAATATCAGCATGAGTTGTATTGATGTCGTTTAAAATGATTTGCGTAATCGTAGGTGATTGACAAACTTACAGAAGATACTGGTATTCAGATAATTGTAACATCTCAAAATTGAGGAACATATAGCGCGCTCTTGTGTACTGACCGTGGGTCCCGTGCGGAGTTGCACACTACAATGGATGGCATTGAGAACGCAAGTGGAGACTTGCAAGTCCGTTTTCTGTTCACCCAGATAGTGCTTTCGCTACCGCCCATGGTTTTCAACTTTAGGCGCATAAACAATACTAATGAATGTAGATCGCATGTTGTTTTGACGTCTGCTCGCAGTCGTTATAATCGTATGTAACTCACGTCTTGTGATGGGTGGGCACAAGGCCAATAATAGACTAATGTTGGTCTGATGAAAACCGTAATTCCGTAAATTGGGAATGTTGGTCTTATGATAAGTCACCATGAGCCACCGTCTGTTTGGCCATGCACGTGATTCATGTGCATGAATAAATGTCCATGTTATCAAGCGGACCAGTGACTTGCTCGTGTTTACACACCACAGCAGTGTCCTTTGCGTTTCAGTGTTCTTACTTAGAATAACTGCAAAGACTGCGTGTCTCATCTCTGCCAACAACGCGTGCTAAGCTCTTGGATCCACTCGTTGTGACAGTAGTATTACATGCTAGAAGCCGTGGTAACATTGGCACCTAACCCAGCAGCCAAACCTGACATGTCAAACGCAGGTAAAAGTCCAGCGCGTGGCCCCACATATTCACTCGTACAAACATGGTCTACTTGCAGCGGTAGTGTCTCACATGCGCCACCTCAGCCGTAGAGGGCAGCAACTGGGCGAACTCCGTCTCTCCGTGCCGATTCGGTGGTGCTTAGCCTAGCCAACGAGCTTGCAACTTCGCTAGTATTGATACCAGCGAAATGGCCGGGTGGAGTAACGTCATGGCTGTTTGCCCGGCCCAATGAAAGCGCAGGCCACGAAAGGCTTGTTTATCTTCTCTCTCTCTCTCTCGAGTCAGTGTAGACGGATATATGGTCCACGTATACTCGGGCTTTCAGATTTAGCACGCGAGTAGAAAAGCTTTGGTAAATAAGTTTCACGGGTAGAACAAACGAAAACATGGCGGCTATTTTCCATTAGTGCATGCAATCCACAAATATGTTCTTCTTTTTGTCGAGGATATTCGTGAGTCTAGATGTGACGAATATCTACCTATACTACTCGTTAAAGCCAGTCCGTTGCAACAGTGATAAGGTATAATATAATATACCTATTCAGGAGCAAGCCAGTCCTTAACGGAATCAAGCTCCTCCTTAAGAACATTCAACCCAATTCATAACTACATCAAGCTGAATCCATCGTCTTGACCAATTGCAAATCAGTACAAGTGTACTCAGAACGTCTGCATCGGTTGGTGCAGCACTCAGCCAACAAACCACGTGATGCACAGTGGACGCGAAAACAACATGTGAGCTCATTCACTGTAGGCTGGGTGCGGACTAGCATGCGGCATCTATGGCCGGTTGAGGAAGTACTGTAACTTCCACCCACTCACTTACGCGGCATCAAGACACACAACGCAGAAGTGGTCAGCCATCCGCGTGCTCACTGTTACGCGCAGACGACCAGACATGAAATCTACTCTGCAATGAGACAGTATCGATTGCACTGGGTAGGGTGAAACACCGTTTGACTGAGGAGATTAACCTAGGGAGTGACCGAAAATTAAGCTGGTTGAAACAACCGACAGCGACATTGCGCGGTATGTTGTTCTAGCTCGGGTTTCAGTCGGAAGTAGGCACTGGAGAACATGATGTTATCATTAGATCGCCGATGTCCACTATGTTGTACATAGTACTGGCAAACTCCAGTAAATGGCCAAAAGTTGTTGGTATCAAGTGGATGGCACATTTTGAACACAAAAGTGGATAAAAAAAGCTAGTTTGTGAGGAATCGGAAATCGCCCACCATAGAGTAGCACATCGCCATTCCTTGACTGCTCAGTTTGCAAGAATGATTAGCTTGCGAACCGATATATCGTCAACCGACGGACACAGATGGGACACAGTACTACAATTCCGATCTCTGTGTTTAACAGATAAGGCCATGTGCACAGAGAAGGAAGTAGACAGTAAGGTAATTCCTGGATAGTGGACACCCGAAACCGGTAGTGAAAGCCACGTTTCACAATATGCTGAAATCACATTGAAGATATACAGCGAAATGGATTGGGACGATAAGAATATTATAGGTAGAAGGAACTACCTTTTCCTTTCCGACGGCACTAACCAAGGAATAAAACTCGGGATCTGTTCAACAATGGTGTATCTGAAATACACACTTTTCGTAGATAAGATGACTAACGGTGTTCACAAATGTATTCACAATAACTGTGAATATGTGTGTATATGAGATACCGCGAGCGAACTGCACACAACGCTGCTGGAACACCTGAGGCGCATTTCACGTCGACGTCTAATGCTCTACTGTGAGATTCAGCGGTGGTGACGCACCTGTTAGGTACGGTGCATGTAAGGTGGCCAGATTATTGATGAGCCAAACCGAGACGCTTCCAGATTTCTTGCACGGCAAACCGAGACATTTAACCTACCCCCGTTTGTTTCTGCATATGTTGATCGTACAATATATTGAAAAGATACATATCCACATTTCTTGCTTCAATGCAATTATAAAAAGCACTTGCGTTATTAGTCAGTACAATGGCTACGCTACTGAAGTTTTAAATAAATAAATAAATGGCATATTCCCGCTAGAAGGAGGCATACAAGTGAAGGCACGACTAAATATACCTACAAACATAGCTGCTTTGGAACAGTAAAAAGTGTGGTTAGAAAAAAGTACAACCAAAATTTTCGTCGTTTACTCACTTAAGAAGTTCGTGGGTTACTAGTGGGATCCCAGAACATTATGGCGCTGGTTTGTGAAAAAATTGTTTATTACTATGGTGGCAATAGCCAACGGTCGGCATGATTTCGCCATGTTGTAATCCATGATTTCATGAGCATAGGTCTGGGCGCTGCATTAACATATCGTGAAGTTGTTCGCAAGGATACACGACACTCTTTTCTTCAGAACTGCATTTCACCACAAGTATTGCTTTCAGTGTTTGACCGCTAAACTGCGTTGTTCAGAATCTACTTCGATTCAGTTTGGAAAAATGTATAGTGCTGCGTCTGAGGCACAAGTTCGTTCATTCTCACAAATTCGGCAACCAAAGCTGCAAACGTCTTCTGGGAAGAAGGATGTGGGAGTTTTATCCAGGTTGACCTTGGATGTTCGAATCAGACTGAGGCGGCCTAAAGGAGGGGCGTGCAACACATGGGCCCCCTGAACCATGCACTC